CTAAAAATACGAAAATTAGCCTGGCATGGTGGCATGCACCTGTAATCCCAGCTACTCAGGAGGCTGAGGCAGGAGAATCACTTGAACCCAGGAGGCAGAGGTTGCAGTGAGCCAAGATCATGCCACTGCACTCCAACCTGGGCAACAGAGTGAGACTCCATCTAAAAAAAATGAATAAATAAAAATGCAAAGTTATCCTTTCAAACAGATAGTTTTACTGTTTTAGTAGTTTTAATAACTGTAGATGGGAGAACTCATTCTGCATAAAATAATAATAGAAGTAAAAAGCAAATAAAGTTGACAGTGAATTTTTCTATAGTTTTAAAACTATTAGTTATCTAAAACTTTGTCTAAGCAGAAATAATGTAAGATATTAACAAATATTCTTGTTACTATAGTGTTGTATATAAATATATGTATGTACACATGCCAATTATTGAGGAACACTCTGTAGTCATGAGCAGTAAAGTGAAATATGACCTTTAATGGAGTAGGGGGAGTATTAAAACAATCTAGAAATCAATTAATGAGTTAACACTACTACCATTTGTTCTAACTTAGATATTTATGGTAGCTTATTTATGTAAGAAATATAGCTAAAATAAATTTTAAAAATCAGAAAAATGAGGCAAAAGAATATTAGCTGCAGGGAAGTAAGATGGAGTTAAGAATTATATCAGCAAATACAAAAAGTCTTAAATGTTTGCTATGAGTGATAATATATGTATCAGGTTCAACTTATAAAATGATTTTATTAATCACCTATTACTAAACCATTAAAAATATGTTAAATTATTTTATCTATGTTAGTTTCATAAGAGTTTTGTGGCCACAAATTTGTATCGAGTAATAACATTAAAACACACAAGTCAAAAAAAAAAAAAAGGGTCAAGAATCTCTAAAGTATAAAGGTACTATGTATCCAAAAGGTCTTTATACTGGAAGATGATAGGCAAATGGCTTTTCATTATAACCTAGTACTTTAAAATCAATTGATGTATTTATCTTGTTCCAAATTTTGAGATGGCTTAGTTCATAAAAATAAATTGTTTAGTTTTTGTTTTTCTTTACTCCTTCAAAACACTTTATTTTTATTTTATTTTATTTTATTATACTTTAAGTTCTAGGGTACATGAGCACAACATGCAGTTTTGTTACATATGTCTACATGTGCCATGTTGGTGTGCTGCACCCATCAACTTGTCATTTACATCAGGTATAACTCCCAATGCCAGCCCCCCCCCCGCCTCCTCCCCATAACAGGCCCCGGTGTGTGATGTTCCCCTTCCAGAGCCCAAGTGATTTCATTGTTCAGTTCCCACCTATGAGTGAGAACATGTGGTGTTTGGTTTTCTGTTCTTGTGATAGTTTGCTGAGAATGATGGTTTCCAGCTGCATCCATGTCCCTACAAAGGACACAAACTCATCCTTTTTTATGGCTGCATAGTATCCCATGGTGTGTATGTGCCACATTTTCTTAATCCAGTCTGTCACTGATGGACATTTGGGTTGGTTCTAAGTCTTTGCTATTGTGAATAGTGCCGCAATAAACATACGTGTGCATGTGTCTTTATAGCAGCATGATTTATAATCCTTTGGGTATATACCCAGTAATGGGATGGCTGGGTCATATGGTGTTTCTAGTTCTAGATCCTTGAGGAATCGCCATACTGTTTTCCACAATGGTTGAACCAGTTTACAATCCCACCAACAGTGTAAAAGTGTTTCTATTTCTCCACATCCTCTCCAGCACCTGTTGTTTCCTGACTTTTTAATGATCGCCATTCTAACTGTTGTGAGATGGTATCTCATTATGGTTTTGATTTGCATTTCTCAAATGGCCAGTGATAATGAGCATTTTTTCATGTGCCTGTTGGCTGTATGCATGTCTTCTTTTGAGAAATGTCTGTTCATATCCATTGCCCATTTTTGATGGGTTTTTTTTTTTTTTTTCTCGTAAATTTGTTTGAGTTCTTTGCAGGTTCTGGATATTTGTCAGAGCAGTAGATTGCAAAAATTTTCTCCCATTCTGTAAATTGCCTGTTCACTCTGATGGTAGTTTCTTTTGCTGTGCAGAAGCTCTTTAGTTTAATTAGATCCCATTTGTCAA